GGGGAACAGACAAGTTGCTGTCCTTTTGTTCTTCAGTCTAGTTGTGGTGGACGTTGCTTCACTGGCCCAAGTTGGCACCATCATTGCGCTCTTCCCGGGCGAGGCAGATCAGTCACCGGCTTCTGGACAGCCGCTCACGCTGACTGCTGGCCGCTCACGCTGACTGCTGGCTATACACGGTAGCCCATGGCAACCCACTGCAGCAGGGGTGCTGCAGCCTACGCCATCGCTGGGAACTCACGACAGCCCAGCTCCAGGTTGAGCTGTTGTTCAGCATCCTAGCTGTGGAGGGCAGTGTCACTGAACCTCATATGTGGGATCCAAACCCGGGTCCTCTGGCGTCCCAAGCCAGTTCTTAACCAACATGCCACTGGGCCGGCCCCTGCAAGAGTTTTTTTAGGGCATATATGTAGAAGTCAAATTGCCGAATCATGGAGTATGTTCAGCTTTACAAGGATAATGTCAAATTGTTTTCTAAGGTGGTTGTATACATTTTCAGTCCAACTAGCACTATACAAAAATTCCTAATGATCTATATATCCTCACTAGCACTTGGTACTGGCAAACTTTAATTTTGTGACTCTAATGGATATAAAATATTGTTTCAATATGATCTTAATTTGCATTTCCTTGACTACTAATGAGTTTGAGCATTTTTTTCATGTGTTCATTACAGATTTGTGTTTCTTCTGTTGTGAAATATCTATAACTATTTTTTACCTATTAAATGTTTTTCCTTATCAATTTGTTAGAGGAGTTCTTTATATGTTCTGAAAACCTATTCATTGTCATGTGTGAATAATATATTCTTCCAGTGTATGGCTGATCTTTTCACTTAATTGTAATGTATTCTGTTTTTTAATCTTTTCTTTTATGGTCAGCATTATTTGAGTGTGGTATAAGGTATCCTTTCTATTCCAGTTCGTAAATATTTTCTTCTAAAACTTAACAAAAATCACTGGACTTCTGGTTTCTTTTTCCACATGCAAAGAGCTCAGGAGTTGACACATGGTTCTAACAAGTAAAAAGCTGAACAGACTGAAATCTGTTTTGAAATATGCCAGAGTGCTCTGCACTTTTCAACAAGGCTGGCTCTCAGGGGGAATCTAGTTAACCAGAGCCTAACCTGCTGTGGTATTATCAGAGCCTAACTGACCACGGGAAGTAAAACTCCAGCCCACTGTAGCCATCTCGTCCCTCCTAAGGTGGGAGAAAAAAACTGAAAGACACTTGTGAAGCTCACAGTCCAGAGGCACAGGCTCACTACAAAACTGAAACCTAATCAGAGGACCATAGAATGCTTGCTCTCCTCCTACACCTCACCAACACATTACCAAAGATCTATTTACAGCAGTTCCTTTTACCTAGTACTGCATGTCACTTCATGTCTGGCTATCAAGAAAAAATTTACAAGGCACACTAAAAGGCAAAAATCACAATTTGAAGAGATGGAGCCAGTATCAGAACCACACATCGCAGGGGAGCTGGACTTATCAGAACGGGAATTTAAAACAACTATGATTAACATGTTAAGGACTCTAATGGATAAAGTAGATAGCATGCAAGAACAGATGGACAATGTAAACAGAGAGATGGAAATCCTAAGAAAGAACCAAAAAGAAATGCTGGAGATTAAAAATAAAACACTAACATAAATGAAGACTGCCTTTGATGGGCTTATTAGTAGACGAGACACAACTGAAGAAAGAATCTCTGAGCTGGAAGATATATCAATAGAATCCTTGAAAACTGAAAGGCAAAAAAAGCAAAGACTACAGAAACAACAGAATATCCAATGATTGTGGGACAACAACATAAGGCGCAACATATGCATAATGAGACTACTAGAAGGAGAAGAAAAAAAACCAGAAGAAATATTTGGAACAATAATGACTGAAATTTCCCCAAAATTAATGTCAGACACCAAAGCACAGACCTACAAAGCTCAGAGAAAAACAAGTAGGGTAAGTGCCAAAAAACTACACCTAAGTATATTACTTTCAAACCACAGAAAATAAAAGATGAAGGAAAATCCTGAAAGAAGCTAAAAAAAATACCTTACTTATAGAGAAACAAAGATAAGAGTTACATCTGACTTCCCAGGAACCACAAAAGCAAGAGTGGAGTGAAACTTAAAGCGTTTAGAGAAAAAGCTCACTAACTTAGAATTCTGTACTCGGGGAAATTATCCTTCAAAAGTGAAGAATTAAAGACTTTCTCAGACAAATAAAAATTGAGGAAATTTACGCTAACAGATCTGCCTTGCAAGAAATGTTAAAAGAAGTTCTTTAGAGAACAGGAAAATAATATAGGTCAGAAATTGGATCTACATAAAGTAAGGAAGAACACTGAAGAAAGAATAAATGAAGGTAAAATTAAAACTTTACTTAATTGTTTTAACAGATAACAGTTTGTTCAAAACAATAAAACCAACAATGCATTCAATTATGTGTACTTATGTATGTATTTTATGAACATATTTATATGCTATGTATGCTTATATATAAATGAAAAAAAATGACAACAATGATACAAGGGATGAGAGGGAGAGATTGGGATTATTTTGTTATTATAAGGTACCCACACTACCCTTGAAGTGATACAGTACTAATTAAAAGTTGACTTGGATTAGCTGTAAATGTATATTGCAAACTTTAAAAAAGTAAAAAAAAAAAAAGTATAACCAATATACTTTTTAAGTATAGGGTGGAAAATAGAAACATATAAAATGTTCAATTAAAACCACAAAGGCAGAATAAAGTAAAAGATAAAAACAGAAACTAAGACCAAGTACAACAAAAAGAAGAAAGTGATGAAAAATGGTAGGTAATAACCCAACTATAAGAATAATCACTTTGAACATCAATGGTCTAAATGTACCAATTAAAAGAGAGATTGTTAGAGTGGATTAAAAAACAAGACTCAACTATATATTGTCTATAAGAAACCCATGTTAAATACAAAGACACATATAAACTAAAAGTAAATGGATTAAGAAAATTATACCATGGCAACACTAATCAAAAGAAAGCAGGAGTAGCTATATTAAGTTCAGACAGAGCAGGCTTCAAAGCAAGGAAAGTTGTCAGGGCAACTGAAAGTTGTCAAAGCAAAGAAAGGGATTACATAATGATAAAGGGGTCAATTCTCCAAGACACATTATAATCCTCAATGTATATCGGCCTAACAACAGAACATCAAACTACATGAGCCAAAATTAATAGAACTGCAAAGAGAAACAGATGACTGCATTATCATAGTTGAAGACTGCAATACCCCTCTATCAGAAATGGATAGACCCAGCAGGCAGAAAATCAGTAGGAGCATAACTGAACTCAACAATACCATCAATCAATTGACTATATCAACATCTATAGACTACTTGATCCAGCAACAGCAGATACACATTATTCTCAACTTCACATAGAACATTCACCAATATAGACCACATTCTGGGCCATAAAACATA